CGGTTTGCTTGCCTTTACCGCACTCCTTGCACAACTCTATGCACCCACCGGGCGGTGTGGTATCTCGTTTCGTTTGACAGGTTTCGCAAAAGTCACTGAACTTTAAAGCCATATACTCTTGATACAGGGTGTGGTACCTCTTATTCCAGTACTCGGACGAGTCTTTCCATTGGGCTTCGCGTCGATTGGCATCTTGTAACAGCTGCACGAGTTTAGGAATGGTGGACTCTTCTTGGTTTCTCGGCGGGAAATTGGGCACGACGTCGATACCCTCTAGCGGGTAACCGTCTTCGTCGCGTCCTTTCACCGTACACAACATGCTCGAAAACAACCGTGTAATCCGCTCCAGAATCCTGCTCCTTTCTGACTCAGGAGATGTTCTCTTCGACGCTTGAGGGAGTTTTTACGTTTACCCACTTCACGCAAAACCTTTTTATGTCTTTTCAGTTTCCCATAAGTCACTGCGTTGATGGGGATCCTCTCTTTCAGCAAATTGAGAACCATCTCGCTGATTGCGTTGATCTGATCTTTATTGGCGTATTTCAACATCTGTTGACGTTTTTTTCGATTTGCTTCTTTAAGAACGCTATTCAAGAAATGACGTTGTCGTCGTAACCGCCTCATCGTTGACGTCTGAGTCCAGGTGGATTGTCACCCTCTTTTTATCGTCTTCTACGAGTGGCGGCTTCGAGGGCTTTCTTGGCTCCGTAACCTGCAGCCCCTGACGCGGCACCCAACGCAATGGCTTTACCGCCGGCTATCAGAGCGGGTAAGATAGCCGCGAAGGGAAAAATGCCCCCTTTCTGTCCCTTACTCCTCCTCCTCTTCCTCTTTTTCACCGTTCTTCGTCGTCTTACGCACATGATGTAAATGATGCACGAAGTCGATCACGTGTCGCTTTTATAGAGGAACGTGACGAAATCGTTTTTCGTAGTCTCGAACTCTTGGTCTTGGTCAAAAAACCATCCAATTCCTCCACTCCAACCAGAGCATAGTTCCTAAGTTCTGTCAGTGTCTTTTCGTAAGTCGTATAAGCGAATTTGGCCATGTCCATCTTGAACGAATACTTCTTGAAATCGTTCCATCCTTTAAGTAAGGTGGCGAAAGCCGTCAATCCTACCACCGTGTACCCATCTTTCCACACGGATCCCAAGATGATACTCGCGGCCACGACCAGTAATGCTAGTCCGTTGAGAATGGCGTTACACAATTTGTAGTAACTAAACATCTGTCTTCGACACCACCAATACTTGTGATAGAAAGCATACAAACCATCCAAACGTTTAAGGGAGTCTAATTCCACCACGGTGGTGAAAGGTTCATCCAATAAACAGACCAAAGTACTCATGACTACGTTTCAACCAGTCCCAAATAGCTTCTAACTTTCTTTCGGTATGTTAGATCTTTTTAGCTTGTTGCTCGTACTCCCAGATCTCGTCCTTGAAAGCGGTTTCTACGGAATGGTTCAGGGTATCCTGGAATTGTCTGTAACTATCGCACTCGTCCGCGATACGTTTCATGTCTTCGTGATCCATACTGCTCTCATCCCAGTAAGAGCGAGAGCATTTGCATAGATGCAGGAAGTAGGGGAACCACTTGACTTCACTCCTCAACATCTTTATCCGATTGATGAGTCTATCCATACGGTCGATCTTTTTATCGGCGAGGTTGTCGTCGTTTTTTCTTGCGTCTCAACAGTTTTCGGACCCCGAGACCAACGCCTGCCCCTGCTGCACCAATGGTAGCGGCAGTTCCAGCTCGGATTCCTGTTTTCACGGTGCGTTTACCCAAAGCTTTGACCAATCCCAGCGCAGCCCCTTTACCGATGGGTGCTAACGTAGACAACGCACTCGCAAGAGCACCACCCCATTGCTTTCTCCTTTTCTGTCGACGTCTTCTCATGTTGTTCTCAGTTACGTACACTGGTCGAATTGCGTGTCAAGGTAGGACGTTGTCCATTTTTATAGGTGGTTGTGATCGTGTTAGTGGTCGTGATACCGGCAATGCGACGACCCGCTGCCGTTTGTTGTTGTTGTCTCAAAATCTCTTTCAGTTGTTGCTGCATCTGGGCTTGGTTGAGAATACGGTCTCCTCGCCTTCTTCGACCTCGAGAAGGACCCGATCTAACCGACGAAGGAGGTGTGGAGTCACTACTACTTCCACCACCTCCGCCTCCACCTCCGCCTCCGCCTCCTCCGCGTCTTCTTCCACCGCTACTACCACTAGCGCTACTTCTTCTACGGCTTCCGGCATCACTGGGGGACGATGGTGTGTTTTGACGTGGGACGCGTCTCGGTCGTTTACCTCCTCTAGTAGGTCGGGCCAAAGGTGTGTCATCTGTCGGTGTGGCAGAACGTCCTGCCATTCGACGCAACATACGTGTCGTACCCACTCCCATCGTGACGTTGGTGCGTGCTGCCCCCGTGCCAGCGCTATCCACACCTGTCGTGACATCGCTGCGCGACGTACCCGTGCTAGCGGTGCCTACCCCGACCGCTGTCCCTGGGGTTGGTGGTGGCGGTGACGGTGGTGAAGGTGTGTTCAGGCTTATGCCCACACCCGCTGTCGCTGGAACTGGAGACCCCATTTGAACCGGTGACCCCCACGGCGAATAATCGTCCAGAGCTTCAAAATTGAATTCGTCACTGCCAGAGGCCATCTCTCTTCTCTCTTGCTACTTTCTTCTTAGCGAGTACTTCTTGTGTATGAACCAAACTCTCGAAACCTTCACCATTATATGCGTTCAGGATGGATCGTACTTTACGATAACTCTCACATTCTGTGATCTGTCTCATCTGCTCGTAGTCCATTTCATTGGGATTCATGATGTAATGGAGCCTGTTTTTACATAGGTGAATAAACAACGGAAACCACTCGACCTCGCTCCTCAACATGACGACGCCGCAAACTGATGACATCGTACGAATCCCTTGTCTTTTAACACGCGACTGATGACACGTTGATCGTCCTGACTGGCTGGATGAAGATCCAATAGCATGTAACCGTAAGGTCGATCGATGACCTGTCGAAACGCATCCAACACTTCCTGCCATCGCGTGGGAAACGATTGTGGTAATAGATTTCGTATCCCTAACTGATCACGCGGGTTCTTGAAGGCCGCGATGTAATAAGCGTTGCGGGAAATGGTCTTGGCGAATTTTCCGTTAGGGAATAGATCCTGACACAAGTAAATCACCGTGATGTTCCGATGATGAGAATGTTTGGTGAAGAGATCCAACACACGCTTGTCGTTGCCACCCTCGTCCATCAGATCGTCCAGGACCAAAACAACCCCTCGAGTAAACCATCGGGGTAACTGTTCGCTGTCGGGTATACCTTCGTGAAACTTGACACCTCCCTTCTTGAGCTCTTTGAAGCCATCTTGCCACGATCCGTAGCAGTAATGAATACTCTTCGGTGGTTCTTGGAACAAGTCGCCGTTCTCCAAGAGCAGTTTGGTGGTAAACATCGTCTTGCCGGAGCCAGACGGACCCGCTATCAACAAACTCGACGGAGTGTGAAATCGAAAGGCTTTACGACGTTCCATGTTTTATAGAATAACTCGCAAAGTGATGTCGGAAGTACTTATTGCCGTGTCTAAGGACGTTCCAGTACGGATAACACTTATGATTTCTGCAAGCGTCCGTCATGTCTTGCTCTCAGACGCAGGTAGAAAATGTCGTGTCGAAGTAAATTCGGATAGGTTATATCCTCTCTCAATATAGATTGCACTCGACGATAACCGTCGCAATCCGCAATGCGGTTTCAGGACCTGTCGATGAGGATGATTCGAGTGTAAGTCGAGATACTTGTCTCGACACAGTTTAAGGAATCGAGGAGACCATATGACTTCACCACGCAACATTTTTTTCAAAATGAACACTTTTTATTCGAACAGCTTACTTTAACAAACGACGCACTCCTCTAGAGGAACCGCACGTGTCCTGGTGACACGGGGTTTTACAAATCTTGCGCCAGGCCAACTCGTCAACGATCAAACGTTTTAACATCTGTCCTACTTTACGATCGTTCTCTACAAAGTCGTTTTTCTTAAAACGACTCAAGAACGCGTTCATGTCACGACCCTCGGCCCGGTCGATCAGGAACATCAGGGCGTAGTCGCCGCAACTCTGACTGAAGAGTGACTGTAGACTCTTTCCGTTGAAAATATGGTACTTGAAATGACGGTCCAACCATTCTCTGAGCGGTTCGGTGGGTCCGTACACGTCCAACGGGAGGCCGTAACCGTCCAGGATCTCACACTTGTCCTTATCGGTCCACAAAGCGATCCAATGCATGCCCGGTTTATCGTGAGGGTCCGTGTTCACGATGTAAGCGGTCGGTCCTTCTTGAGGCAGTGTCTTGGGAAGCCGATCGCAAGGTACCGTTCCGTAAAAAACACAGCGAAGTGAAGGATTCGTTCGGGCCAAATGATCCAATTGTAAATTATTCAAGGCTACTTTCTCCATTTTTCTTTTCTCATTGGTACACGTCGTAGGTGACGACTCGGTTATCGTTGATCTCCAGCAAGTTCTCGAATTCACCGTACAACAAGATGGTCAGGTTTTCTCCTGGGTTGTCTCCAAAATCAATCACCAGACGCAGCTCACCTGACTGCTTGGGGTTTAACACTGGACTGTCCAAATATCCGTTGGCTGTGTTGTCAAATACAAACATGTTGCATCTCTTCCCGTGCCCCCAGTCCTCTTTTCTGACCATGTTTCCTTTTCCCCTACACAAAGCTCCTGAGGCTTGTAGGAATCTGTAGTAGCCTCTCTGATCTTTACTGTCTCCATCGTGTTGGAGTTCCAATGTCTCGTAGGGGTACTCTTCACCTCTCACCAATTGTTTGATGGAAGCGAGATTGAATCTTCCAAAATTGAACGGACTATCAGTGATGGTTCCGTTGAAGGAGGCTTGTTCAACAACACCACCACTAACCGATTAGGAAGCTGATTGTGGAAAGGATTGCTGCATTCAAAATGACGATTGTCATTGGGATGAGAGTAGGTGCGAATTTCACCTCTCACCGTGGGGTAAGTGACCANTCGGTCCTTCTTGAGGCAGTGTCTTGGGAAGCCGATCGCAAGGTACCGTTCCGTAAAAAACACAGCAGAGTGACGGATTCGTTCGTGCCAAATGATCTAATTGTAAATTATTCAGGGCTACTTTCTCCATTTCTTTCTCATTGGTACACGTCGTAGATGACGACTCGGTTCTCGTTGATCTCCAGCAAATTCTCGAATTCGCCGTACAACAAGATGGTCAGGTTTTCTCCTGGATTAGCTCCAAAATCGATCACCAGACGTAGCTCACCTTCCTGCTTGGGTTTCAACACTGGACTGTCCAAACATCCGTTGGCTGCATTGTCAAATACAAACAGGTTGCATCTCTTGGCGTGCCCCCAGTCCTCTTTTCTGACCATGTTTCCTTTTCCCCTGCACAAAGCTCCTGAACCCTGGAGGAATCTGTAATAGCCTCTCAGATCTTTACTGTCATCATCGTGTTTGAGCTCCAAGGTCTCGTAGGGGTACTCTTCACCTCTCACCAATTGTTTGATGGAAGCGAGATTGAATTTTTCAAAGGAGAACGGATTGATCGTGATGGTTCCATTGAAGGCTGTTTGTTTCATCAACACCACCACTAACCGATTAGGTAGCTTATTGTGGAAAGGATTGCTGCACTCAAAATGACGATTGTCATTTGGATGAGAGTAGGTTCGAATTTCACCTCTCACCGTGGGGTAGGTGGCCACTCTTCCACCTTTCATGCTGGACATGATTTCTCGGTACACCGAGGGAGTCACTCTCACTTGGGACAGGAACAATCTCACTTTCACGTCGGCTTCAGTCAGTCTGAT